AGCACGTTGCACTAAAAACGGTAGGGGGAAGAGAAGAAAATGTAACTGAACGTGTACCTAATAATAGAAAAAACAACACATCCGGCCGACTGCGGGGCCCCCTTATGCCCCTCAGCCAGACCAGTGGCTATGGTGTGTGTTAGCTTTTTCTAGCGGGTTGCCTCGGCTCTTTGCTTTTGCCGTGTGAATATTATGGAGCAGTCGGAACCCTGGGATAGGGGGGGCACGGGGCATGGGGGCGGGGGGGGGCGCCGGGCGACGAGTAGATATTAATATGTATAAGGTTGGTGCGTCTTTGTTTCCATCGACTAGTCATACCACGACTAAGGAATAGTTTAATTTCTCAGAAAACAGCGATAGAACGAAAATCAGGTGGTTCTATGTAATATTTACATAGGTAGACTAAAGGCAAATTTTCAGAAAGCAAAAATAAACAAGTTTTTAGCCGACTCGAAGCCAAACAGATTGAGCGGCGCCACCTACTATGGCTTATTCCAAGACAAAACAGAAGTCTTCCGGAAAATCGTCGTCCCGGCACGGGAATTTGTAAAGAAGCAAAACCTGCGGAAATCCAAGCTCTAACAAAACGCTTCACCCTTTTCTTCAAGTTCCGCCCTACGTGTTTCTAATTTTTGAAACCCCCGTCCGACCGTTTTTTTTTGCCATTTTTGTGAATCTTTATTCAAGCTCTGTATATTGATGCACTTTAGTACAATTCCATTTTATACAAAGCTCTTTTTCGGCTGTGAATCCCTCATTTCGATATATTTCCGTGTTTTCGGGATCAGGCCTCGTCGAATTATTTCGTGCGCCATTTCCACGATCGATGCCAGGCAATCCCTTGGATTTATGCCCAATATTTGACGGCACTAAAAGTGAATAAAAATAGACTTATGATGGCCTCAGTTAATAAAAATTGTCCCAAATTTGCGCAAGACAAAAAGCTAAGAAATGTACTTAAATTCGATTTTCAGCTTCCTTGAAATTGAATCTCCTTGAAACTGCGCCCTCCCTACCGTAACCCACCCTTCGATTATCCACCGTCCAATTCCAATTCAGGAACACGTGAAACATTCGGAATTTCACGACAAACCGCGCGGCCGTGCTGAGGACGCTGTTCGGCAGCAATTTTGTGGAGATTCGATAGCCTATAGATGATTGAAAACCGATTTTCGACATTTGGAAGGGGTTTAATGGCGCTTACTTACCGTAGGGCCTAAATTCATCGTTCAGCGCTTGCGCCATCGCCTTGATTGCCGTGGGTTTCTGCTCGCTGAGGAAGAAACGATAGCCGTCCGTTCCGCGGCGTTCCATCGCTCGAACGTGGGCCTGGAAATCTCTAGTTTTAGAGAAAATAGTGTAATTGAACGAAAAGATGTATGGCCATCCAAAAATCGTCGTTATGTGATCTATAAAATTTACCAAAGCGCAATCACGGACGTCCACGCATTGAAGACCGATTTTTGGGACGATCGGTAGTTGGAAGAGGTCGCAAATTAGCTGAATTTATTTGGCTGTGCTGGTCTTCTTAGCTTTTTCAGACGGTAGAGTGCTTTTTAAATACTTGTTCCACTGTATATCGAGGCATTGGTTAAAAAACTACACGAGCCGTCAACTAACCTCGACACTCGAGCATTTTATATCAGTCAACGGCGGGCCAACGATCAATGCGGGGCAGATTGTAGTGAGTGCAAATCTAATACCCGGTTCTTTTAACACGAAAAGTTACTTACCGATTCCGCAAGTCTCTTCGGCCCTGAAATTCCCATGCAAAGCGCTCGGCCACAATCTTGCTGGCGATGTAGGCGACTGCCGACTCGTTTGGGTCTCCCCAAAAGCCCTCATCAGCCGTGCGAGGAACTGGACTGGCCTTTCCTAAATTTAAGAAGCCACCGGAATGCTTATAAACAGAAAAATGAAAAATTAGCCACAGTACACTTGATACCCACCCAGTGCCGCCAATATGCTGCTCGTCAGGACCACCTTTCTGACCGAAAGCTCGCGTGAACAGGCCTGAACTTTAGTTTTAAGGCAAGCTAAATTGTGTCAATTAAAAATTTGAAACCCACCTCAAGTACATTCCGAGTCCCTTCCAACGCTGTATGAATTGTCTCCTCATTGCCCCCAAGCGGAAACGGGGAAGCCACATGGAGCACATAAGAGCACCCCCGCACCGCACTCGGCCAATCTTCCGGATGCCGAAGATCGGCTTCGACGAGATCGAGCTGAGAGCCCTAAGAAGAAGTTACCCGTTTAGATTCTGGACTTACCAGCACGTTTTCCTCGATGTGTCGAAGCGCCCGGATTTTCGTCTCATTTTTCAGGCTCCGAACGGTACCCCGTACATGGTAACCTCGCTCCAGAAGTAGCTTGACGCAGTGGGCGCCTAGGTATCCGGAAGCGCCGGTTACCAATACCACTAAATAATCATATTAGTTTTTGTATAGTCTATGAAATTTCATCAGAGTTTACCTCACCCCCCCCCCCCAAGGCCGAAGGGTCTCAAAGTTTTCGATATTCCGCTATTTTTTCGGGATTAGCTCAACACCATTCGATAGAGCGTCGAAAAATATCTTGCGAATTTTAATTTGAGCCTAATATTAAATAAAATAAAAATGTTAGAAAAAATCCTCCCGGTAGGGGGAGCCTGAAAATCACAGGTATTAAAGTTTTACTAGCAAATTTCGAATTCTTAAAGCACAATAGCAGGTCTTGACGATAACTACCGTATCCTTAGAGATGTCTTTAGCTCCTACCTGGACCCGCCGCCATTCCAAAACCTCCGGACACGTCTCTTTTAACAACATCCTTTTAAAGCAAATTCCGGTAGACGACCTTGGACGCGCTAACAGGATGTGTTCCTCATGTTCCCCACTCCTCCACTAAATCCTCCCGGCCAGCCCCCAAAAAAGGCACAAAATTGCACGGCAATTGCCTTGCCCGATCTAAGAGTGTTTTGCGGGATGGCAGAAATCAGTGCGACTTCATTTTATGTGGGTTTACGGACGCTGGGGCCGTAAATTGTTGGTTTTTGGTGCAGTTACAAAGGGGATCATGGGGACGTATTGGACTCCGAAAGAAAGTATGTTCGCGGAAATCTGACGGTATCTCAGCAACGTCTCACCATTTCGACAAAACAGTGCGGTAACGCTTTTTTGAAATGCAAGAAGGGAAGACAAATGCAAAAAGAATATAAAAGCAAAAAGCTCGGATGCAAAAAGCCTACGACACTCGGGATTCCCAAGCCGTCTCCGATCCAAATACTAACCGAGCCCGACGTTGCTTAACTTGGCAGATCGGACCGGATGACGGGCTTTCAACGTGGTATGGTCGTAGGCGACAGGTCGGGTGGGATCGGGGGCTGAATCTCTGGAGTGGCAACGCCTGTGCTCCCTTTCAATTGTTAACATTGTCCCGCCCTCCCTCGGGCTGTTCACCCCTTTCTCGACCCTTCCTTTCGCCTACGACCATACCACGTTGAACGCACGGCATCTCGTCCGATCTGCCAAGTTAAGCGACGTTGGGCTCGGTTAGAACTTGGATCGGAGACGGCTTGGGAATCCCGGGTGTCGTAGGCTTTTTGCAATTTTAAGTCTGTTTTTTGCCTGTCGTAGCGATCCAAGTCCAGGTATCTAGAAGACCTTTGAGACGTTATTCATTCATGTCAAATCACAATAATGCCAAAAGATCCGTCTTCTAGAGAGCGCACCCATGCAGCTCGCATCGATAATTTTCGTATTCGGAAGTCACCTGCGACGTGAATTCGGAATAACTCGGACGTTTCTGAAATTATACGACGGTTTCCGGGCAATGGAAAAATTTCACTCACCCAACAAGCGATTTTGGCTGCTTGTAATTCCGAGTCAGGGTATCGCCCAAAATTAATGGTGATATCAATCTCCTTTGGATCTTCTTGACGCCATGGCTCGTGTGGGAACTCAACATACGAGTCTGACAGAAACTAAACTCTACGATTTAATTTGATGCAGATGCTTTTGAAACTTTTCAATTGCGAAACCAAAACCAACACTGCAGTCAAGGGGCAGTTCTTCGAAACGTTTCCCGTTGCGTGTGCCGTTGAGACTGAGTATGATGTCCTTTCCCCTGATTCTCACCACGTCCCCGCGTATGATAGAAAAGCAAGAGTAGGTGCGTGCCTAAACGCTTCGTCCCTACAGATTTTTACCGGAAACGGCGCGTAATTGAGTGGGCTTACCGTGTCGAGCTCCAGTTTCAAGCTCTGTTTGTAGAACGGATGGTATCTACAATTATTTAGAACTAGAATATAGTTTGCGGCTGTCGCCGCAAGAAACGTGGCCACAATGCTGAAATTGCACAGCATTTTCAGTGTGATTGATGCTGGAGAGTGGCTGCTTATGCGGAAATGTGGCCGCATTGTTTAGTTGCGGAATCCGTTTTTACACCGTTTGAAGGGGGCAAGCTGGCGTCGGACTCGCGCGAGTCGGTGCCGTGTATCATATTTTCTCGATTCTGCACAAGCAAGCGACACCAGGGTGTGATCGAGTGTGACTCGATGTCATCAGATTGGAAGGACCATACCGTGAGAAAGGCTTGGGATTTTAACCACGTGTCCCACACGTCTTTCCCCTATACCACGTTGAAAGCACGGCATCCCGTCCGATCTGCGAAGTTAAGCAATGTTGGGCTCGGTTACTATTTACTTGGATGGGCTATGGCTTGGGAACCTCGAATGTCCTAGGCTTTTTGCAATCTTTTTGGTCTTTTTGGGGGTTCTGCGCTTTCTGGAAGTTACAATAGACGTCGTACTAGACGAAGTCTTTACTGACCACACGCATATCTATTTTAGCTGTAATAAATTATTGCCTTTAGCTTCTGACGCAACAATCGGGCGCGCTTTAAAGACCATGGGACTGGAACGCCAGTTCGTTTTGAGCAAAAACCGTTCCGTAACTAAACAATGGCTTTCCCGAGCGATGACATAGGTCAACGGTTGCTCACAATGGTCTGGGCGGCCCAAAATGTCGAGATTGATCGGGTTGATCCTGAATTTCCTCACCATATGTCTAGCCAAGCACCTCATGCTCGTACGAAACTGCGACCATAACCATTTCATGTCGACCGGACCCTACAATATGACCCGGAAGGAGCTACCGCCGGTCGAGTTGGTGGGTTTTTGACCGTTCTGAAGTTGGCCTAGCTATTTAGGGGAAGACCTTTCATTGCTACACCCTAAAACAAGGTTATAAAAAGCTCGACAGCGGCCAGGAGATGTGGTGGCTTGACGGGAAGAGGAACGGAAAACGATTTCATATTCCTCCGACGAATTGCACGGTATCAGATGATACAAATTATTAGATTTTATGTAGTCTCAAAGCATTTAACCTTCAAGCATCTGAAAGGGTAAGGTCTTAATTATTTTCAGCAAAAAGAGATGACGACATTGTCGTTTGCAAAGCAGGATTGGCGGCATGGAACCCCTGACGATGTCAATATACATTTCCATCATGGTTATTGGGAGAATGATAAAACGATACTGGCGTCTTCAATGGCTTGCATGGTATTCCGGTCTACCACTTGTTTTTACCCCTTGTTCAGAGAATCCCGGTATTCACAAGCTTTACCAAATTTGTAAGCTCGCGCACCCGGAACGAATATTACACCTGTGATGTCGAGACTTGTGATTTTTAAGACTATAAATAAATACGGAAAGGAACAAAAGCAGACACTAAATTCTAACTCTCTCTATCTCTCTCTCTCACTCTCGCTCCCTTTCTCTCTCTCACTCTCTCTCTCGCTCTCTCTCTCTTCTCTCTCTCTCTCTCTCTCTCTCTCTCGCTCGCTCTCTCTCACTCTCTCTCTTTTGAAATTCGAAAACCGCTTACTTAACTAGCTGATTCCTATAAATGGACCCAGATGCTGCAAAGATTAGATAGATCAAGCCACCCACACGCTTCTTTCCCAGAAATCGTGTAAGTACCCGTGGAAACCCCATTATCTGGACAATTTTGGGCTGACAATCCCTGTGCAACCCACGAACACAACTTGATAAGTCTTCCTGATCCCTTGCCGGAACGTATTATGTCTACTTGCGGAAGTATGAATCCGGAGGTTTGATTTTTACGTTCTTTTCTTTACGAATTTTCATGGTTTTTTTAACGGTTATCGCTTCCTTTAGTTGAATTCGCAGCCCCGGGAGCCTTTGCCATCCGCTAAGCAGGAAGCGACGGGTTCGTTATCACCCGTTTTATTGACATTCAAAGTTAAGCGAAAAGAAATCGATTGAGCGGTGCCACCTATTACGGGCTATTTCAAGAACGCGCTAAAGGCTGTCGACGACACTTGGAGGATATGCAAAAAAGAATGATCGAATCCGAAGCACCTATTAATGCGCGGGCAAAGCTATAAAGATGTTCAAATCGATCCCGCACTGGCAAAAATAACTCCAAATGTTTGGTCCGTTTTTCACCAGCGCTACAGCGATGGACACGCCGTCATATCGCAAGGTGTTGGCTTACGTGATTTTTCTCCGCAGCCATCACAAAATTTTGGCGCTTTCCCCTGGCCTATTAGCTCAATTTAGGCCCTATCTTTGCCATCGGAAAACTTTAATCTCCTCTTTGGCGGCTAGGGTATTGGAATGATTGTTCTCTAACAATTTAGCATAAGACGTATGCAAATCTTTGAGCTGTCGATATCTATTGGGTTGTAAAAAATCTCCGTCGGCCTTCACGTTCGAGCGCTTTTATGAGAACAGCATTTCTGTAGAAAATATCACGTTTCCCAGGAAATAGCTTTCCATGTTCTACAAGAATGTTGCAGTGGTTTCGACTAAACACATTTGGATAGGTTTTAGACCGTTTGAAAGTCCGGACCAAACCATCTCGATTTTCTTGTTTTCTCAAAACTGTTCGGTGAAGCGGCGCAGGACCTGTCCTGTTCGGATCCCATCGGCCTGTTGGCACATTGTTTTGTGCTTGCCGCGCACAAGACCAGGGTTCGACCCCCGCCCGTGGCATGGCTTTTTGCCCTTTTATTAAAAGCTGTGATGGAATGCTTCTTTAAGCAATCGATATTATCGTAGGGCCCTTATGCCGCTTGTCGGCTGTGTTGACTGAAACAGTAAAATCGATCGTTTTTTGCCTTATCTTACGAGCTATCCAAATTTTAGCAATTAATTAAGATATGAGGATAGGAAGTTGGGCTGGCTGTTGCAGTCTCCAAGGCTAGTAAAACAATATATCACAACTTTTCTAGATGATGGGGAAACGGCGGCATCCTAAAAGACACATCATTCGATGTAGAAAAAATTGGCGCATCTTTCTATGCTATTTCCAGGATGCCGCCAATTTGCCATTAAGTAGTAAATATTAAAAAACTGTTTTTAGTACGCGAGATTCCTATGTTCCGGCCATTTTCGGGCTTTGAAATGTCTTAGAGAAATGGTCTCCATTCCAAATTAGGTATTGCCACAAATTTTCAGCAAATTTGGTCCGGTAATTTTCTAGATAGGTTTTCGATGAACTTTTTAAACTTTCAAAAATATATGACCGCACTAATTCGATCATGCTCTGTCCAATCGCGTCAAAAAAAAACAGGGTCGAAAAAACTGTGCCAGCAAACGGCCTTTGAAATGCTCCTTTTGGCAAAGTTTTTACTAAAAACCTCAGCAACTACGCAGAACATTCCATATTTGTTTGAATATTTTAAGTCACGCAAAAAAAATCGTTTTCAAGGGCCAAGATGCTGCTCGACTTTCTCAGATGCATCGTCTGCCGGGCACCGTTCCATCCGACCATGCCGGAATTCTTGCCGGTGCGCTTCTACTGGGAAAAACAGGTCTATGTGGGCTATTGCCGGGACTGTGTGCCGCTAACTGTCAAGAACCCGGAAGTGCTCGCTTATGTGCTCGACATCCTCAACCAGCCCAACCTCACCTCGACGGCAGATGGTTGGATGGCTATCGGCCCACTCGAACGGCTGAAATGCCCGCTGTGCCAAGTGGAGTTTACTCGGAATGGACGCTGGGATCCGGTGGTGATGTGGAAAAATTTCCACCTTCTTTGCCGGCCCTGCCACGAGGAAGAAAGCGCCAAGCCGAAATGCACCGTTTGCAACGTGAAGTGCGGGAAAAGTGGAGATAATGCGTCGCTGTTGATGCGATATTTGGCAATGAGCGGTGTGTCTGACAGCGGCAGCTCACCAGAGCCCGAGCTGCAGACCGAGAAATGCGGCCAATGCCATAAACGCCTTCCCGTCGACCAGCTATTCCGATGCGAAGACTGCACGATGACGCTGTGCAGTTTGTGCGCGGTACGAAAGCACCGCGACCACGCACTCATTGATAGAGGGGCTCTGAAGATCGTCGAATTAGAAGAAAATACAACGGCGCAGTTGCGTGAGCATTTTGATGGGTTAAACAACATTATCACACATGTACATACGGAAATTGCGGCCGGCTCGCGAGGCCTCATCGAGAAAATCGAACAAGCCCTAAAAATCGTCGGCCGTCAAATGGAATTGGCGGAGGCGTTGAGGATCTGTGGCGAATTGCGGAAGAAGCTGGATAGGTTTGAGGAGAAGTTCGAGAAGTACCTACCCCATGCACGGATTTACGAAGATGACCTGAAAAAGTTGAGCGACGAGATCGAGATGTTCACGTTGAAGTTTGAGTGAGAATAAATGATTTCATCGCGTATTGGGCATTTACACAAACACATGGACAAATGGACACAAAAATATATATAAATTGAATATAAAATATTAATGAAAAACACATGTGGAAACACTCGGAAATGGATTAAAAGCCGATTTGATGAATGCTTAAAATCGGCCTCCTCGCCGATCACCAATCGGGTAGTCGCTAAAAGAATCGGAATAATCGACGCGATTTGGAACAGTTCACCTTTTAGCCGGGTCCTGCTTGGCGAGCGCCAGCTTCATCTCAAATATTTTTTCCAAAGATCGCCACATTAGCATCTGTTTCTTCGTGTCAACCGTGTTCACCTAAATTGCTCCATTTTTGCCGGGTTTTCGGTTTTGTAGAAATCTTTGGATCGTTGGAAAGAACCAGTCTTGTAAATACCTGCGCACTACCCCTCCTTCCGGCATCGGCGTCTTGCTGGTATTTCTTTGTTAATTGCTAAAATATAAATAAAATCGCTAACTTTTGTTTCAAAACCTCAATCTCCTCAATGACTTGATTTATCGATCCGTCCGTTATCTTGGCAATGTGGGCTTCAGCTGTATCCCCGGCCAGTTCCGCCATTTTTCCCTGTGCACTGGCGTGTTCATAGCGCGCTTCTAGGTCCTCGACTTGCTAAAGTTTGATTAGATTTAGTAAACCGAGTAAAGGTCAAGAATCCAGAAAATCAAGAAAACAAGGCATCGATTTCTTACCTTTGTCAAAGTCGCAAAGTGCTCCTCCATAGCGTGCTTTTCCTGATCATAGCGACGTTTTTTGGTTTGGAACTCTTCGAGGGTCAGCTGGAAAAAAGCTTTTTGTTTTTCGGAAAATGCCCGAAACAGATTAAAAATAGTTTAAAATAATTCAGATTGAAAAAATAAAAAGATTACATTTAACTTCCTGGCAACGTCTTCCCGTCTGTCCTTCAATGGGGCAATTCTAGCTCTCTTCTCGTCCAACTGCTGGTTCAATTCGTTGATCATATTCCTGAAAATGCCTCAAAATTATTGGCCTGATTTTTTAAATAAGGTAAGGTCCTTAAAACCTGCTTCAACGTACCGTAACTCCTCCGTATCGTCCGTTTTCGGCGCGGCGGTTTTCGGCCTCTCAATCCTCATCGGAACCTCAATGTTCTCCAGCACCACCATCCCCATCGATTCCTAAGTTTTCAATTTTTTTTTGACAAATCAGAAACCAAAAAACTTTTCTGTCGCCTACCATCTTGTCTTTCAGGTCCTCGTACTTTTTCGTCAACAGCTCGCAGGTCCGATTCAGTATCAGGTTTTCGGACTGAAAACAAAGCCCTTTTCCGGCGGTTCGATACAAACCTTGATATCCTCCATCTCACCCCGTCTCTTCTTGTACTGGATCGTGATACCGCGGAGTTTATTAACGTAGTTCTTGAACTGGAGGGAGGTGACGACGTCTTCACCGCCGTTGTCAGAGCGCATTTCTTCTTTACGTTGGGCCAGACGGCGCTGGATTTCATCGAGATCGTTTCTGGAAGATTTTGAGTCTCATAGGCAAACCGTATGTTAGAGAGAGAAGGAGAGAGAGAGAGAGAGAGCGAGCGAGCGAGCGAGAAAGATTCTTACTTCGCCTCTTGCAACTGCTGTGCTACCCCATTCCGCTTCCGTTCTACCGTAGCGGCCTGATGCCGATAAATCGAGAAATTCTCGTCCTGCCCCTCCTCTCGTTTGTCACGCTCGCTCTCCAGCTCAATAATTCGCTGGTTGATCGTGTCAACCTATGTAAAATATAGAAAATTTCGCTTTCCAAAACTCACATCCTTCTTCAACTGGTCAATCTCCGATTTCTCAATGGCTGGCATTTCCGAGATGCGCTGCAACTCCTTGACCATCTCGCGCCGACTCCGAATTTCTTGTTCTTGCTTTTCAAGCAGGAAATGGTTGGTCTTCATCTCTTCCTGAAGTCAAATTACCTTCAATTTTATCTAATTTGGGATTACCTCAAGTTGCGCGACCAAGTCACTGGGGTCCAACCCTTCAGCTTGCTGCCGAATCTCTTTCAGCTGCGCCTCGAGTCGTTGCGTCTTCAGCTCGGAGTTGATCACCTATAAATTAGGCCCGATGACATTTCAGCGCTCTTCTACCGCATTTCGCTGCTCTTGCCGTTGGACATTCAGATTTTCAAGTCGTTCTAGTTCCTTGCGGTGCGCTTCGGCAGCACCAATAATTCTGAAAATTCTTTGATGCCAAGAACAGCCTGAAGAAAATGTGTTGAAAAGCACCAACTTGTCCAAATTCGGCATGTTCACCACTTTCCGCTGGATTTTCTCCACTCGCCGGGTTAGCTGTTCCTTTTCCTAAAGTCGCACTGGTTGCTCCTCAAACTTCACGTATTGATCGGTTTCAACGCTTCTATGTTCCTTTAAAGCCCTTTATCCAACCTGTTCCATAGCCCTCAAATCTGTCTTAATGTCGTCGACCATCATAGTATCGCCGCGTAGTTCAGTCACTTGTTGATGTGCCTCCTATAAAAATTCTAATTTTTGGCCACTTAAATTTTTTAGGGCTATCTAAATTTAAATCGCTATATGATATGCCATCGCACCGATTAATGCGTGAACCTCCCCACCTTAAACCTCTCCATCGCCTCAGCGTGCTCATTCTGAAGTTGCACGGTATCGATATCATGAATATCGCTCGGGACATCGACTTTTGTAAGAAATTTGGCAAGGTAGGCACGTTCTAAAAAAAAATCAGCTACCGCGTTATATCTGTTTGTATACCTTTTAAGGAATCCACGTTCGCGAAAATGTAATAGAGCACAGGGTAGACGGATGCTTTTGAGCCTTCTACGATTCCCACGCGCCATTCGTCTCTAGAAATTAGTTTTTCTCTCCATCTCTCGCCATATATCTCGTGATCTCTCTCTTTCTCTCTCTTTCTCTCTCTCTCTCTCTCTCTCTCTCTCTCGCTCTCGCTCTCGACCTACAGCTGCTCAATATCAGTCGGTGGTCGAAAACGTAGCAGTTTCAGACTATTGAAAAGCCGCAACGCCGTCGCATCCGGGCTCTCATCACGCACATCGATATTATCATTCCCAGTTATCCAACTTTAAGTGATTTCATACTTTAAAAGCTTCTCCAGCGACTGTTCCTACCAAATGACATCACTCAACACTTGCAGCAGCCGGTTGTCCGAGAAATTATCAAAAGCTATCAATGTCGTGTTCAAATTGAATGGCTCTTGGTTCAGGGAATCGATAATAAGCTTTAGCGCTTCGGCTGACATGGTGAATCAATATTTCGTTGATGTCCGAGTCGAATTCAGTAAACTGAACCAATTTTCAGCCCCATGCTTTGCGTCCGGGGTTGCCTAGCAACCATGAAAATATTGTTAATTTTGCCAAATATATTTCAGATAGATTTTTGAAGGCTCCATCATGATTAGTGTGTTTATTCTAAGCCACAAATAATTGTCACACTATCTTATTTAACGAATCCTTAATGTTTTTCTAAAGTTTCCCCTTGAAGATCGCCTACGAATTCCCGCCTCTTGCCGTGTCGATAGTAAAGGTTGTAGCCGCTCCCCGGCTATTCCATCTTGTCGTGATGTCTCCGGCTAAACTATATGAATCACGGTCTTTCAGGATATTATACTTTAATATTAAGTATTTAAACTGAATTTCAGTCGTAGCCTAAAATGTCCGGCTACAAATACACGGCCCTGAATTTTGATGACATGGACGATGATGGGCCGTCGACGAGCAGCGCCGGAAATAATAATCAAAGTTCCGACAACAACTTTCAGGATATATTGTTCAAACAACAGGTAAGTAAAGTTAAGAAAGTGAAAAGGTTCAAATCCTTAAATTTCTGTGATGATCTGATCAGATCTCAATTTTTTAGCAAATCATCAAAGACCAAGATGAGGACCTCGACCTGGTGAGCAAGTCGATGGGCCATTTGAAGAACATGAGTTATAAAATTCATGAAGAGCTGGAGGAGCAGAATATGTAAGGTTACTTAAGATTATTTAGATATAGCTGTCATACGCTAATGGGTTAATTAAGCTCTTTTACATTCAAACGCCGTAATTTGACTTAGACGTGATTTTCAAATTGCATGAAAAATGAAACCGAATGAAAAAAACTAATTTAAAAAATGAACCAAATCCGTCAACGATGTAAGCTATTTAGTATGCTCGACGAGCTAGGCACCGATATGGAGCGGGTCGACACGAAACTCGACGGTGTTATGAAGAAAATGGCTAAATTGACGAATTTGGATGACGGTTGGTTCTTTACAATAATATTCTCTTGAACATATACTTTATTTTTGCCATATTATGATCTATTTTAAGTTTTCTCAAACCTAGCGTCGTTCTATGAATTTTTAAATAGGCCATTTAACCATTCAGACCAGAAAGACCCAACAAAAGCTACAAAAATCAATAACGAAACACTTTTCAGACAAGCGCCAGTGCAAGATGATCCTCATCCTCAGCATCCTCCTGTTTTTCCTCGTCATTGTCTTGATAATGGCTTAATTTTTGTGCTGTTTCTGGTGCCGATATTGCCATATCAAATCGAACTTTCCAGCTATGAAACACTTTTAGCTATTCTGTCGGGTAGGATGAATAAATATTTTCTATGGACGACCAGTACGGGTTTGAAAAAGCAGAAACTAAAGCTATGCTATTTTTATGAGCTTTGAAACGTACTTGAAAAGCATGACTTTGCCCTCTTTTCAAACGGTAAAAATTGCGAAATTTACAGAAGGTCCTGCTGCAAAATACACAATTTTCGATATTTTTAATGAAGGGTATATGGAACCAATCTTTACATGAGAGGCCTTTTAATGCCGATATTTCAACGTGTTCCCATTTGCCAACAAGTTCCCATCCCGCCTCACACTGCCTCAATAAATCGTTATCAGTTCCAGCTGGATGACCGAAGCCTGAGAAGTGCTCCTAACTGACTAATACAGGCTTAAGCCTCGTCTCCTAACGCGATGATCGGTGGCCATTTTCTGTTATTTGCCTTGGCTACCGTAGCCCGGAGCGTTGAAATTGACCCGAATGGCTATGTCATATATTGTCCTTGTATGGGTAAGCCAGAAGTTTGCACAGAAAAATTTAAGTGACTTTAGGGAGGTTTGGAAACCAAGTCGATCAACTTCTTGGGAGTGTTGCTTTTGCTAAAGGGCTAGATCGAACCCTGGTGTTACCACCATTTATCGATTTTTCAAAACCAGGACAAGCGGTAAGCCATTGGAAAGTTATCTCTCTGCCTCCGTCTCTCTCTCCCTCTCTCCTTCTCTCTCTCTCTCTCTCTCTCTCTTCTCTCTCTCTCTCTTCTCTCTCTCCCTCTCTCGCTCGCTCGCTCGCTCTCCCGCACTATCCCTCTCTCTCTCTCACTCTCTCTCTCTCTCTCTCTCTCTCTCTCTCTCTCTCTTTTCTACAAATGAAAAATTCAGGCCATGATCCCATTCGAAGAGGTCTACCAACCAAAAACTCTTGGACGACATCTAAAAGTGATTACGATGGGCGATTTCAAGAGAAATATAGCTCCAGAAATCTGGCCCAAAGAGAAGAGACAAGGTAACAAATTTACCATGCTTTTCTATCGTGGTTTGCGGTTTAAATTGACGTTGCATGAAAATTATCTTCTGAAATTTCAGCCCTCTGCTGGTCCCCGCGCGAGTCTTTCTACCAAAAGGGATCTCCACCTGGGTGTTTTGCCAAAGAGGGCAACCCGTTTGGGCCTTTTTGGGACTATGCCGGCGTGGATTTTGTGTCTGATGCTTACTATGGAAATATTGAGGTAACGGAATGCCTCAATTTCCTCAAAAAAAGTTCATTTTAGGGCGGCTACGATCTCACTGTCAGCGGATCCAGAAAAGCGTGGAGTTCAAAGTAAGTCGCTTAACTAATTCTTTCCAAATTTCCCGAACCAGCAATTTTATACCGGAACCAGAGTTGAAAAGCCGCTTCGCGGGGGTTCAGCGCTGGCCTTCCATCCCCACAATTTGAATGCGGAATTTGGCTGAATTCGTGTACGGACGGGCGGGAGGACATTAGAAATTTATACATAGTGGATTTATCTTACTTTTCCAGCTATCCGCCTGCGGAATATCCAGTCCTAGCTTTTACTGGAGCCCCAGCTGCCTTCCCGTCAAGAAGAAAAGATTGGGAAACCCAAAAATATCTCCGGTAAGGAAAAAAGTGATAATTCATGAGACTTAAATTTTAGGTGGAACACCAAAATCCTTCAAAAAGCGCGCAGCTTCATCAATCAAACCCTAACCAGGCCCTTTGTTGGGATTCATCTCCGGAATAATGTCGATTGGGTAAGTCAAATTATCAGGATAGGCTAGCCTGGGTCCTTGGAGAACTGGATCGAGCTTTGAACTGCCGGGCGAGCTAGCAGAGATCGTTTGCGGTCCCGATTCCAACCCAAACAATTCCAGAATAGCGTCTGTGATCACATCAACTCGGACAGAACTGATCATTTATTCGCATCGGCACAATGTCTAAATGATGCTCCCCGGAAGGGAGATTTTACAAGGGAGTTGTGCTCTCCCTCGGAGAAAACCGTCATCGATGCTGTAAGTGGAAAAATAATAACTTTCACCCTATCGCGCGCGCTCTCTTTCTCTTTCTCTTTCTCTCTCTCTCTATCTCTCTCTCTCTCTTTTTCTCTCTCTCGAATTTTGATTTTTCAGGTAGTCGATCAGGTCGGAAAAATCGGCGCCAAATCCGTCTACGTGACCAGCGACAAGGATTTCATGGTCTTACCTCTCGGGGAAGCTTTGGCAGCATATGATGTAGGCTTTTTCTGGTATCTCATCCCTATGTTCATCTCCAGATCAAAGTCTCTACCCTCAAGGAAGAAAATCCACACGTCGCCCTGGCCATCCTGCAAGAGTCCGATCATTTCATTGGCAACTGCATCTCCACTTTTACATGTCGGTTCTAGAAAATTTTGTAAATTGCTTTCTTAGTATCGTAAATTCGGAAAAAACTTGGTTTTTTAATACAATTGATTTTTTCTAGCCATTGTCACCCGACATCGTCAATTCTCCTACGCTCAACCCCGACCGACCACATTTTTTGGCCATGTGCCAAAACATGACGAATACGCTCCTAAGAAGAAGATTGAGCTCTAGATTGCATGATTATTCTTTTTTTGTTGGCTACCTCGATCTCTCCCTGTAAAGGATAAATATCTTAATTAAACTTTTGTTGTAAGCATAGCTTTGCTAATTCCTATTTTCCCGGACTCCAATTGATTTGGTCTATAATGCACCACTCATTGGCAGTTTTCAAAAGCCTTTAAGAATTGTATCTCAAGGAAAACACTTCATTTCCCTAGTCCCGTCATTTTTAAAGTCTTACTACGCAGAATTCACTTATATTTTGAAATATTGACGATTCAGTTGTTTGGTTGTGATATGCTTGATAAGTTGTGACGAGTAAATATTTATTAAGCTGAAAGGATTGATGATAAATAAAGTACGAAGGGTGGATAGTACGATCAGGCTCAGTTATCAAAATCCGGCAAATTCGGCTCGTACTCCACCTCGCAAAATCCGGGACCGTAGCCAGGTTGGGCCGGGAAACCCCGTCGCACCATACGGCATTGCATTTCTTGGAGGCGGGGCCATACGGTAGCGGGCTAAAGTTATATTTTCATAACGTCTTTCTATAGATGTAAATTCGGCTTACGTCAGCTTTCGTGAATTTCGCACTGCTCCACAGCTTCTCCGCTACCGCGGAAGTGCGTGGGAAAATTCTGTAAAGAGAAACTGGTCAAAATAAAAATTTTTTTTTGGTTAATATTAGAGGATGGTCTCGGTATTACCTTTGTATAACATTAGTAGCATCTACCATCTCGCCCCACATAGCTGCCTCTCCACCCATAACCATCCGTTTTTGCGCATCCGTTCCGTCGAAATCCTCAAAGCGAAAAAATCAACGAAAATAAGTGAATTTTGCTCAATTCCTACCCTTAACTTACATGAGGATCGCATTTGTAATAATCCTGATAGTCGATGTTCCAGGAGATATGGTCGAGATACCTAAAAGTTTGGTTATTTTTGAGGTATTTTCTTCTTTTTTTCCCTCTCTCTCTTCTCTCTCTCTCTCTCTCTCTCTCCCTTTTTTTTTTTTTTTTTTTTTTTTTTTCTTCTTTTTTCCTCTCTCTCTCTCTCTCTCTCCTCTCTCTCGCTCTCTCTCACTTTCGTTAACGCGGCGCTTATTTGCATCCGATAAGGACTAGGAGGGAAAATCGTACCATAGGTGCATGAACGATATTTTCCGGCCCATAGTGCCTATTTATGGTGTACATCTGGCCTATTATGATAATTCATGCCCACAGGGCATTTTTTTGTTTTACGATATCGGACATGAAAGTTTCACCGCCCCGTTTTGGCACTTCCATTTATTAGTCGGCATACTTTCCCTTTCCTTATTTTTAATTTATTCGATTCGTTAAGCGATGTTCACCACCTATTTTAAGGCATTGACCGGTAAGTTCATTAAGCTCAGGTCCTACTTTAAAGTAGCATTAAAATTAATGTAAACTATCATACTAAAATTGCAAAAGTTAAAATTTTAATCTACGGGTTTTTAGATACGCTACTGGGCGGTCAATCAACGGAAAATGCTAATCGAACCCAGCATTCTGAAACCTCTAATTCTCGTCTATCAAACGGTAAGGATAAAAGCTCAAATATGGTAAATTTGAAGGTTTAGATTCAACCCGAAGCCTCACTAGACGCACCGTTTCTGCCGCGGATCTGACGATTGGCATGAAAAGGGCTTCACCTCAAGCTATTGAAACTGAAAAACCGAACAAGACTCCTAGGAGGTCTCTACCAATTAATGCTTCTGTCCTTTCTACAGCATTTCAAGGTAAGTCAGCTTTAATAAGACTTTAAACAGCTAAATCGCATCTAGAAATTGCTTTTTCAGCCACCCCGAAACTTGCGGCTACAAGAATTCCGGTGAATCAGCAAACTTCAAAAATGCCGAGGACGAAATCGGCTTCTGCCTTGCGACCACAACCTGGTAATTTTACTATACTATAAAGAACTACAAATTACATCTGAACACCTGCAACAATTTTTGTCTTAGAAAACTCCGTGTTCAACATGACCCCCGAGCCGAACAGCTCCCTTCTCAATAGCACTAAAGGTAGCAGAATCGGGCTACCGCTCGCCAGTTCAACCCCGAAATCGGACAAGGGATCGAGGTGAGTAAGAGGGGCAAACTAGCAAAGGTCATTTGAGGTCATTCTAGCTAACTTTTTACTAAGATTTTTAGATCCCTAACCCGACAATCAGCATGCGATTGGAGCTTCCAGTCGACGTCGGTTTTTGGGCACACCACAAAAACATCCGAGACTATGAAAACACCGGCCCCGGCTAAGACTTCAATCCAATGGCACGATACCCCGCCCGTTACCCCGGAATTTTCCGTTATTCCGGAAGTGCTCCGGAACAGGAAAATCAGCCTGATACAGTCGACAAATTCAACGAACGCCGGGTGCACAGATATTCGAACAGGCCCGCGGTAAGTGAAACTTATAGATTTATTTTTCCCTTTCCCGCGTAACCAGCCCAGCTTTAATGGAATATTGCAATTAAGGTGTCAGTACCACCGGGACAACATAAGAAAAATATACAAAAGTTTCTATCACTTTTTTAGTTCACCGATGTCGAGGCGAAGGAAACCCTGCTATGGCTTGAGGGCCTCAAGCAAAACGACCCGACAAAATTGCGAAGTAAGCTCAAAAACAAATGGATTTAATGTATAAAATGTAGAAATTATAGTATACTACCATTTTCAGCCGTCATTGAGGAACTTGGTCTGGAGCCAAAAACCTGGGGTCGACGGCTTCAAAACAAAGACACCCAAAAGAAGCTGTGGAAAATCCGACTCCGCGAGCTTCTCGTCGGAGAGAAATACTCAAAATCACTAGAAGAATTCATGCAGGGAAATCGGTTCATCGAGGATCAAGGAGAAAAGGTATAGACTTCAAAGCTGCGAAACCTGAAATTTATATAAATTCTAGATTGACGACAAATACTTTCGATCGGTGATGAAGGCGGGGGGTTGTATCAGGTTTTACAACTATATCCTAGTTGATTCGACGGGATTGCCGAAGAATCAGAATATTTCTGAGGTAAGGAAATGAAAAGGGGAGGAGTGAAGCTAGCAGGGAAAATTTGGGAAAGGGAATCAGCAGTTGTTGGTTTTACAAATTAAAAACTGGAATCCCTGCCAGTTTTCGAAATTTCTTAAGCAGACTATCAGAGGTAACTTAGGAAGGGGAAGATCGATCATTGCTGATTAAACGAGCAACACATCCAGAGCTTTGATAGAGATTTCGGAATTTCTGAGACATAGCATAGATAGTTTTGGAATCTGCGGGTAGGCCCTTTTGGTAGAGTTAAAAAAGTTAAAAAAGGCATACAGGTCAGCTAGCAAAGTTTTTTTTAGGAATCTAAACTGCCAAATTAACGGTAAATTTAGATCAGCTTCGAAGATTTCGTAAATGCCGTTTTTTACGTCGGAAAAGGAACCGATAATCGAGCAATCCAACATCTTCGTGACGCTGTCCACTTTGATGGCCCGAAAAATGTCACAGACGGGAAATTGGTAAAATAACAATATTTTGCAAGGTCAAAAACTCTTCTAGAGCAACGCCTCGAAACTCTGGCACATCAACAACATTTGGGACAACAAGGGCGCGGTGTATGTGTTGAGGGTAGGTATTTAATAACTTTAAGGGGATTAGGAAACCGAAAATTGTAAAAATTTGCTTAATTCACTGCTACCATTTTTAAGGTGAATACCTGCCTGAAAACGCAAAGTAATCTTGATTTTAGGTATTCAACGAGGCCCCAGAAAACATCTCCCATCTCCGTGAAGAGGCCATGATCACCGCGTTTAATGTTAAAAACTTGACAAACGATGTGGTAAGCTCAGGCTAGACCTTGCATTATGTTAATTTTACTTAAAAATTTAAGTTATGCTAAGCTTTGTTATATATTACCAGGGTTGAAAAACCGCTTCGCGGCTTTTCAATCCTGGCCCCGTCCAGGACCTGTGAAAGTCCTTAATTTGCATGTTTCTTCCTGAATTCTAGCCAGAAAAAAAGTGAAAAATGGCTCCTCTGTCCCTTTATATAGACTCTTCCTACTTCCGGCACATGCTAATTTCCCCTAACAAACAGGGTTTTACAAAAACCTATTTTTAATAGCGAAAACCACAATTTTTCAAAATTTTTATGTGTGTGCAGTCGATTCCGGACCATTCTAAACCTATTGTCGTTTCTTCCCTATCCAAAAAACCCTTCCCCGAGGCTGTAGGAGCGGAACATCCTAACGGAAGTGCATGCAAATATACACACACAGACACTATTTTTTATATATCCTACCTTATATAATTTTGGTGTGTAACTGTGTGTGTGTGGGGATGTCACTTTCAAGACCCGATTTGAGGGCCTTCCCGTGCATAAAATGCCCCAATTCTCCGTCACCCGGGGGAATCGGCCCTTCTGTTTCCAATGGCGCTTTCAGAATTTTGATAAAATACAAGTTTACAAAGTTAAAGCCGGTTTTACTAATTTTTGGGGGTAATTTGCATAATGTAAAAAAAAGAAATTTCTTCATTCTTGCAAGTTGCACTCGCGAGTGTGGTCGGCCGGGGGGGTCCGAAGGACCCGAGCTATCGGAAAGTCAAATTTCTTATGCAAAGGCCGCATTCCAGCGCCCAAGGCCCGCGAAGCGGGTTTTGGGCGCTGGTAGTAGGATAATTATACATACCTTAAATTTCCTAACTCTAAAATTAAATATATTTAGCGAGGCCACCAGCTTCGCGGCCAACTCCGCGGCTACACCGATGAGATGTTGGCGATTCATGGGACTTTTTTGATAATTCGCGCGCATAAAGTAAGTTGAAAGACCAAACTACAGACTATGCCACAGACTACAAACTATCGAAGTCTTAACAAAACCGTCGAAAGCCTACGTTTCTAGGTGTTTTGCAACAATCTACCCCCACCAATCCGGCGGCAAAACCTGCTCGACATGATCCCGATGACGATGGGCGATGTACCGTTAAAATTTTTGGATGCGAAGATTTAAGTAATCACGATAAGTAACTATATTGCTATGCTATTTTAATAATGTAATTCCATGTAAATAATCTCGACTTTAAAATTGTAATGATCCTCCTAAACAGATTTTACAAATCGTTTCACGCTCAAAAAGTACTGGCAAGCGCCTTAAAAGTGCAGTTTAAATGTTATTGATAAAGCAATAAAAATTATAATTTTTGTGACATAACTTAAAACGGCGTAGTACAATCCACTTACCAACACTCCGAAAGCAGCGCCATATGCCCCTTTTTCGTGACGTCAGCAAGCTGTTCGGAGCGGTTTCCGGTCCAAATATGAGCGATAATTCCGTCAGGTAACTTGATGCCCATATCGACAACCTCCTAAATTAATTATTATAAGGTTATAATGTTTTTAAATCTAAAAAAAATTAAAATTACATACCTGCCAAACGATAAACTTCTTCTTTGGCATATCCCGCAGCCCAAGGTGCATGAACAGCTGATCAAAATACCATTGTTCGAGTTGCGTGGTGGAATTGAGGCCCCAGTACTAAAATATTGACTTAAAGGGATAGTGCCAGTAAAAAAAGCTTAAAAATTTTTATCTTACGCCCATGAACTCCTTGATTTTCGCGTTGTTCTCCCAGCAGGTATCCATCCAAAATGTGGTCTCATCACCACCGAGATGGAAATATTGATCTGGGTATACGGTCATTAACTCCTAAAAGTCATGCACTAAGTTCATTTAATAGGAAATGTTAGTTGTATACCTTAAAAAGCGCAATCAGCGCATCCCACATTTTCTTATTCGAGACGTCGAGCATCCCTCGGTCTCTCTTCCCCATTTCCACTCCTTTTTTGTCAAAACATCTGAAAATGTTCCTGAGTTTTTCTCTTATAATCTACATAAGTTTCATATTTAATATATATTGTATATATATATATATATATATATTTAATAAATATTATATATTTTCATGTAATGTCTATATTTAATTTCCGAGCGTCAAAAAACTTACTTCGACGTCATAAATTCCATCCCAAAACCCCATGACGCCACATGGCCTGGGGTATCGATTTCGGGCATTACCCGGACACCTCGAAGACGTGCAAAATCGATGATTTCCTAGAAGCACCTTACCTTTGACTGTTTTAATGATAATTATACCTTGATATCGGAGATCCTGTAAATGTGATTCTCGTCATATGCTCCTTTGGTGAATTCTGGATAAACCTAAAAGCGACGATGACTTGAGCTTGACGAAATCCTCGTGCATCTACCTCAGACGCATAAGGAAAAGCCTCCCCGTCCACCATATGCCAATGGAAAACATTCATCTTGTTCATCGCCATCAGCTCGATAATGGCCTTGATGACTTTTAGGGAAAAGTAATGGCGTGAGGTATCGAGGAGTAGGCCACGATGCGGGAATCTGGAATTTGCTACTTTTAAATGTATTTGGAAGGTAATTAAGGGACTTTGCATACCTTGGCGAATCCTTAACGTACGCCGACTGGAAATATTGCCTTGTACCGTTGTAGTAGAATAATTGAGAAAAGGTTTCGAGTCCCCGGAGAGCTCCCCAGACCTAAAAAAACAGGGCTGTCCTTGAGCCTTTAGAGGTAGAAATCATTCAATAAGATTTTCTGGATTTCATGAGGTGTCTCTGCCCCTTTAAATTATTATACCTCGTCGGCTTCGATGATAACTTCACTCTGATTAGCTCGCAATACATAGCTTTCGTCCATGCCCAAAACCGGATGTTCTGGACAAAAATCCTTTGACACCAACACGTTCAACGACGTAATCTCAGGCGAATCCTCCTTCTTTGTCTAAATCGGGATTCTACATACCTCATCCCGAAATTTACGCTACCTTCTTGACCCGTATACTGGGCTTATGCAAATTCAGGATCTTGATATAGCGTTTCAAGGCCTTTTCAATGATATCACATTCCGTGTTTTTGATAATTTTTAACTTGGGGGATACAGTGAAGATCTCCGGCTCTAAAAACAAATTTTACGAATTATTAAGGCAATTACCATATTCAACAAGTTGTGGCTGGGGCCAAACCCTGCCTTTTGTGCGAATTTGGGGGTCTGGCCAGGCGCAATATGCAAATTGGAGTAGTGTGATTGAAAATACGCAAGCGATTCTCATTCTAGAACCTGAATTGTTGGGCTAGAGGGAGAGAGAGAGAGAGAGAGAGAGAGAGAGAGTGAGAGAGAGCGGAAGAGAGCGTGAGAGAGAGCGGGAGAGAGGGTGAGAGAGAAAGCGAGAGAGAGGCGGAAGCGAGAGAGTGAGGGAGAGCGGGAGAGTGAGAGAGAATGCGATAGAGAGGGAGAGAGAGCGGGAAAGTGAGAGAGAGAGAGGAAAAGAGAGAGAGAGAGGAGGCGAGAGAGCAAGCGAAAATAAAAAATATTATTTTTCTAAGCCTTGCTAATGCAAAAATGGTAAAACGAGCCTAACGTCACGAATTTTAACAATTGCCCGTTGAATGGCAGCAATGTCATGACATAAATCGTGAGTCAAGTCCTTGCAGACATTACATAGAAAATGGCGATGCTACGGCTAGCAACGTTTCCAACCATAAATAAGCACCCATTCTTATCAAGCACTGCGAGTTATCGGAAGCCCTGGTCACCCATAAGGTCAAACGTCCTGGGGCGTTGATCCGAACGAGTTTTTGCCCGCCGCCATTTGTTTATTTTCAGGCCACCCGGTGCCCCGCAATCACCATTTGGAAATGAAAAAAGGTCTGGATCGAGCTGTAATAAGGGGGGGGGGGGGGGGCCAAAAAAAATCAAAAGATGCACCGCATTGAGGGGCAAAAAAAAAAAAAAAAAAATTCCCCCCGTATTGAGGGGTACTGTAAACGATTATGTGTGGGGGCATGGCGGCATATGATCCAAAACTTACATTAAATCTCGTCAATCCAAAATTTCTCGCCGATCCCGAAAAATCGCATCGCGGATTCATGCCCGTTGGCGGTGATGCGGAAAAGCGGGGCTTGCGGCTGAATTTTAGAGCATCGAATTCCCTTACCCGGATTCTTCGGCGGACGAAGCAAATTCCGAACCGCCAGAATTTAGTTTCTGATTATTTTTTGGGCAGTAGTACTCCTTTTTCGACACTTTAAGGAAACGTGGAAACCCGGAAAAGTCATTCGAAAATGTACGTAAATGCTTGTTGGTAGAGTTTCGCTTTTTAAGGCATTCAAAAACTTGCCTATGTACTTCCAAGCTTGCCATTAGGCAGAGGTCACAGATAGGTGCCGATTTTCTGACTAGCAACCTTGTCCAACCACCCCGAATAAGCGGGATTTTTCGTGTGTTACCCAGCTTTGACTTTCTAAAGGTGCTTGCAAGCGCAAAAAATGTTTTTTTTGCCGTCATTTTGGGCAGATTTCCAAATCCCTATTCGCTTTGGAAACGATTTAAGGCTCATTACCGATTTCCTAATCCCGTTATCCCAGCCAACCCCATAATAGGGGGACTCTGGTTCAGCCGGTGTTGGTAGAGGTGGTGGGGGTGTGTTTGTGGGCGGGGCATGTCTTCTTCTTCTCCCCCTTTCCTGTTGGCTAGTCCGTCCCTTTAGAAAGCGGGCTTCTCGAGTTCCCTCCCCACCCATGTTGGCCAAGACCTCCTCCACCCCTCCGAAACCATCACGGCGACGGCCCCACCCCCTTTACGGACACGGATTTTCCCGATTTGGATTTGGGATATATGGATTCGGCTTTATGGTTTTTAGACAAAATAAGGCGGCCTTAAGTTTATTCTCTCCCCAATACTACCAAAAAATTACTAGATCTTTTAGAGGCAACTATTTCCAATATTTAGTGATTTCAAGAGCAACCTAGCGGAGATTCTTGGTGAATATTCATCTATAGCTCTCTCTGTATTTCCCGCGCGCTCTCTCTCCATCTCGCTATCCCTCTCTCTCTATCTCGCTCTCTCTCACTCTCTCACTCAGTATCTGTGAGCATCGCTTCTCGCACAGTCTAAGACTATTACTTGGCACGTAAAGGAGAACTATTACAACTCATTGAAATTTCTAGGGTAGGCGAGCAGTGATACTTGTCGAATACCAAGAAATACTTTATTAGAACTTTATCTCTCTCTCTCTCTCACTCTCTCTCTCTTTCTCTCTCTCTTTTCTCTGCCATTCTAAAAACCGACCCCACCTAATCTAAAAATTGTTGACTCTCTTGTGGTTGCGTTTGGCTTCTGCCCACCCAGAACACGTTTAATTTCCGCCCTTCCCCCATGTCACGAATGTCACTTTCTGCTCCATAGTAAGTTTTCGGCTGTCGCGTTTCGAAAGGGCAAGAAACTGAAACGCTTGTTTTTCCGTGTCGTCAATTAGGCGCTTCTGAGAATTTTCGTTTCTCACACTTCAATTGTATACAGATTTGATCTATTTCTATTGTCGACGATTCAGCCTCCGCTTTCCTATTTTCTTCGTTGTGTTTCAGATTTTTTCGGGAATCCCCCTTTCGCCAAATTCTATCCGGGGCGGTTCGCGATGCGGGATGGGATGACGGCCCGCTGGCTATTTCAAACGTGGTTAGTGAGCGTCGTCGCGGGGTCGTGTCTTCTGGAGAATGGCCGATCTTCCGTTTATCTATCCGTTTTTGAAGATTTGAGACCAGGTGAGCATGAGTTTATGAGATTATGTCCCTCTCTCCATATGGTTTCTCTCTCTCACTCGCTCTCTCTGTCTATCTGGCTCTCGCTCCCTGTCTCTCAATGTCCCTTTCTCATTTGTTCATTCTCTATGTAGCTTTCCCGTTCTCCGGTCCTCTCTAGCTCTCTCTTAATGCCTGTCTTTCCGTTTCTCTAACTTTCTCTCTTTCTCTAGCTCTATCTGTCCCTCTCGTTCTCTCGTTCTCTCTCACTCCCTTGTTCTTCGTATTCCCTAAATGACTTTGGGGTGATTCGTTCTGTTTTTTTAGGCATCGTCTTGCTCCCTTTTCACACCTCCAATTTTCCAATACCATCCGATCACCCGTCAATAGTAACATAGTGAAAGCATAACAGGGTGAAAGGCGATGGAACGGGTTTGCCATGGTGCGGCATGAGATTCCGGGGCGAGCATGGCCTTTGTTTGGGTGGATAACCAGCGTCCCCCTACGCAGTAATCCATTGGACGGTGGAAAGGGACAGGGGCAAGGAACGGAACACAAAGACACATCCAAAAGTTGCAGGGCAGGGGATGGAACGCGCCTGAATTCCGTTGGCTGGCCTTGTTGAGGACAAGGAACTTGATGGAGGCCAATTTTGTTCTGGGTAGAACGTGCATCGACTCGAATTTGTAGTCTGGTGGAACGAAAAGTAACATAGGATATGGTATATAAACGTCTAGTTTTTCCAAAGATAACTGAACTCTCAGGATTTTGTCTTCCAGTTCCCTTTAAGTGCTTAAATTCCCCGAGATTTTCCATGGATTGCCCTCTGACCCTTGGCATTTCCGCTCTCTCTGTCTCACTCTCTCACTCTCTCTCTCTCTCTCTCTCTCTCTCTCTCTCTCTCTCGGTCTACCACGAAGTACCAATAATGGTGCCCGATGACCACCAGAAGCTTCTCCACCCCGGCTGAACCAAGCCGACAAAGCTAATTATACCCCGAGATTCGTCTTGCTACTAATTGGGCGTGCCCACTACGGCGCGCGTAGTATCCATCGAAATTTGCCCTTTTGAACCCTCGGAGGGTAAATCCACGTCGAAGTTCGAGGTAGCCATTGGGCGTGGAATGGAATGGGAGATGTGAAAGTGGCTTCCAAAACCCAGTAGTTCCGTTGGATAAGCCAAATAGGTTTTTCTAAGCACCTACCACAGCGTCTGAATCGGCCATTGAAAAAGTATTTGCCGGCTTAATGGGCCTGGGAAGTCAAAATTTCCGTCTCGATTCGAACATTTCTGAGTTTTGAACATCTTTAAGCGTTGGGAAAGCATCAAACGATAAACCAGATACCAAGCGGGGCGCCAACAACTACGAGCTCCGCTTAATTTACGTGTTTTTGGGAGTTTATGAGTAGCTGCCGAGTCCCGGGCAACAACAGGTGTTGACTTTCCCGCCTCTCAGGCCCTTTAATGAATATAATCCCCTCCTTGTTTAGCTTACCGCCACTAATCCGCGAACCCGAACACCTTTTCAGCCTACCGACTCGGTTGCAAGGCTTATTATAGGATGGGCAGTGCTGGGGATAAGCCCATAGCGGGGGCATAAGAAGGGGCATATTTATTTACTCTCCATGTCTCTTTCTCTCTCTCTCTCTCTCTCTCTCTCAACAGAACGGTTCTCCCCATAAGGGCCATAGCGGATTGGTGTCCTCAGATGGGTCCCGCCGCGAACCCAATGAATACCCCCGCCGGGGGAAGGGCTGTCATTATGACAGCTTCTCCCCCTGCAAACCCCCAATATGGGCGACACCATTTGCTTTGGAAAGCAGTAAATAGGGTATAAGAGGTGTGAAAAATAGGAGGGTCTGCTTTACGGTTGAGGCAGGCCAGCGGGAATTATTTGGGAGCATTGGGAACTAGGAAAAGGTATTTCTCTCTCTATCTCTCTCTATTTCTCCCTCTCGCTTTCTCTCTCTCTCTCTCTCTCTCTCTCTCTATTTCTCTCTCTGCCTATCGCTTCAACTCCTCAAAAACCCCTACGGCCCAACTTAATTTCCGCACCAAGGAACGCAGCAGAATTGACGAGCAACAGGGTTCAAAATTTGGCGATACTTCGCAAGAACAAACTTTTGCAGGAGAAATCGTCGGCAGCATCCCCGTAGAAGATTTTAAAACAGATGGAGGGATCGAGCTGAAAGTTGTCAAGGGATCGGATTTTGTCGATATCAACCCTGGGAGTAATCAGCTAACGTTGAAGAGCCCGTTGGATCGGGATGAGGTAAAAACACACTTTTAAGGGAGTTATGGAAACAAGAGCAGAAAAATATTGAGTAAAAACAAATTGAATCAGCTGGACCGGATTAAGAGCTAAAAAATGTCTATTTTTCCTGGTCCTTGAATTCTACCAAACTGGAATTTTTTTCA